TCATCCCAGGCTAATCCCCTGAACCTGTCCCAAGGCAGCCCAGCCTAGGCTTTCCTGTGCTTCTTCTGTGCTAAACCCCTGCTTGTTTTCTGTCCCCACTTTAATAAACATACCATCACGGTAAAAAAAATAAAATAAAAAGGCAAAGATGTCTGCTATTGTCAATATTCAACAGTGTACTAGATGTCTTTGTCAGTGTGATAAGGAAAAAAGAAGTATTAACAATGGTAAAGGAAGAAACCAAACTGTTATTATTTGTAGATGACAAGATTGTGTAGGAAAAATGTTTCAAACCTCAAATAAACTATGTATTAAAATTAATAATGTGGATTTATCCTTCCAATCATGAAGAGCACACTGGTGACATGTAGAACAATAATAATAGCCTAACATATATATAATTGGAGTCTGAGAAATAAAGGGTAGGAAAAAATTATTTGAAGAAACAATGGTCTAAGATTTTCCAAATTTGATGGCTGTTATAAATTCACAGATCCAAGAAGCTCAATTAAACTCGAGCAGAAGAAACAGAGAAAAAGACACCAAAAAAAAAAAAAAATCATAATCATTTTTAAAGCCACTAGAAGAAAAAGGGAAAAATCATGAAAAGAGAAGCATAAGAATGAGAGCAGCCCTGGCTGGTGTGGTTTAGTTGTTTGGGCATCGTCCTTTGCACTGAAAGGTTGCCAGTTTGATTCCTGGTCAGGGCACATGCCCGGGTTGTGGGCTCAATCCCTGGTAGGGTGCATGCAGGAGACAGATGATTGATGTGTCACTCACATCGATGCTTCTCTCTCTCTGCAGCTCTCCCTGCCTCTCTCTCTAAATATCAAGTGAAAATCTTTAAAAAGAAAAGAAAGAATGAGAGCAGATTTTAGAGCAGACAATTTTAGAGAAGTAAAAAAAAAAAGAAAGAAAAACCCAAATAGACCTGTGAATCTAGAATTCTATACCCAGCAAAAATATTTTCTCCCACCTCCTCATAAAAGAAAAAAAAAAAAACTTTTAAAGATAAACAAAAGAAAAAATGCATCACCAACCAACCTACAATATAAGAAATGTTAAAGGCAGAAGGGAACTTTTACCAAAAGGTCATCTGGATCACACAGAATGAAAAGCACTGGAAATGGCAAATATGTGAGGTTTTATTAGTTAATTTTTTTCTTGTTTTAACAATATCTTTAAGCTCTAACCAGTTTGGCTCAATGGTTACAACGTCGGCTTGTGGACTGGAGGGTCTCGGGTTCAATTCCCAGTCAAGGGCATGTACCTAGGTTGCAGGTTCAATTTCCAGCCCTGGTCGGAGTCGTGTAGGAGGCAACCAATCCATGTGTCTCTCACATTGATATTTCTCTCTCTTTCTTTGAATCCTCACCCAAAGATATTTTTCTATTTATAATCAGATAGAATGGGAGAGAGAGAGAAACACTGACGTGAGATAGACACATTGACTGGTTGCCTCCTGCACAACCCAACCAGGGCCAGGGATTCTTTATACTCTCTGTATTGTCTAAATTTCTTATGATAAACATGAATCATTTTTATAATGAGAATAAAATTTACCTTCATTTTTAAAGTGTAATACATGTTCCCTTGCCAAGGTCAAATGACTAAAGTGGCAAAATGGGTTCGGTTCCAACTAAGGGCACGTGCCTTGGTTGCAATTCGTCCCCAGTCGTGGTCAGGGTCGTGCTGGAGGCAACAAGTCAATGTGTCCCTCTCACGTCAATGTTTCTCTCTCTCTCCCTCCCACTCTAGCTGAAGGTAAATAGGAAAATATCCTTGGGTGAGGATAAAAAAAAACAACACCTTACATCTCGCCCAGCCAGTGTTGCTCAGTGGACTGAGCATCCCCATGGACTGAGAGGTTTTGGGCTTAATCCCCAGTAGTGGCAGCTGATCAATGTTTCTCTCTCACATCGATGTTTCTATCTCTGCCTCCCTTTCTCTCTAAAAAACTCAGTAAGAACGTTAAAAAAGAAAAGAAAAAGAAAAACTTAAATCTCTTCCTACCTGACCTTTGGTTGACTTCAATTTAAAGCTGTCCTTCCTGGTCCTATCTCACCAGCTGGGCAGGAATACCACTGAGCTCTGTCCACAGCACTTTGCTGGCTGCCTTTCTTCTGGCTTCCGGCACTTGCTTTCTTCAACATCCATCTCATACCTTGAATTCTAATCTCCCAAGCCTGTCTAACCTGGCCGTTTCGGATGGGCTGCTCTCTTAACTCTCTACGTAAGAGAACTCATTCTGGGTTTTTCCTTGGCCTCTTCTGTCTCTAAATCAGATGTGTTTTGTTTAGTGACAGAGCATGTTAATTTTATTTAGTTCCTGACATGAAAAATCAGGATATTTTAAAATGAAACTCTTTTGTATTGTTGGTGGGAATAGAAAATGGTGCTGTCTCAATGCACCATTTTAACAGTTTGGTAGTTCTTTAAAAAATTAAAAACAGAGTTACCATATGATCCAGCAATTCCACTTCTGGATATATACCCAAAATAAATGAAAGCAGGGACTCAGATATCTGTACACCCATGTTCAAAGGTACATTATTCACAATAGCCAAAAGGTGGGAGCAACCCAAGTGTCCAGTGACAGATGAATAGATAAGCAAAGTGTGGTCAAAGCATACAGTAGAATATTATTCAGTCTTATAAAGGAAGGAAATTCTGACACATATTGCACTATGGACGAACATTGAGGACATTATGCTAAGTTAAAGAAGCCAGTCACAAAAGGACAAATATTGCATGATTCCACTTATATGAGATATTCAGAATAGTCAAAATCATAGAGACAGGAAGTAGAATGGTGGTTGCTAGGGGCTGGGGGATGGAGGGAAGAACAGTTAGTGTTCAATAGGTATAGAGTTTCATATTTGCAAGATGAAAAGTTCTGGAAACTGGTTACACAAGAAAATGAATGTACTTTTTAACACTGAACTGTGCATTTAAAAATAATTAAGATGCTAAATACTGTTTGTGTATTTCATCACAACTTTTAAAAATCAGAACATTTCATATTTAAAAAATCAAGATTTCAGGCTTCATTTGAAAAAAATCAAACCTGATACCAGGGGACCTAGATTCTTGCATGTCAATCATCTCTAGTTTATCACTGACCCTAGCACCTAACATCATTCTTTTATGTTTGGCTTTTTAAAAAATATTTTTAAAAATTGATTTTAAAGAAAGAGAAAGAAACATTAATGGGAGAGTGAAACATTGATTGGTTGCCTCCCATACACACCCAAACTAGGGACTGAACCTGTAACCTGGGCATGTGCCCCGACCAAGAATCAAACTGGCAACCTTTCGGTACACAGGATGACACCCAACCAATTTAGCCACACTGGCCAGGGCCTTTTGGGCTTCTTTAGTCATGTGAGTTTGTGATTTTTGCTCTAAACCCAGAGCATTACTTTTCACAGTACATCCCTCCAATGTCAGCATTCAGCTGGACAAGCTAAAGGTCTTCCTTTGGTAGAAGGGCCAACACCCTCACCCCTCAGCAACTGATGGTAAACACCAGAATGATTAAAACCATCCCTAAAAAACTCTATGCCAGCCCCTGGCCAGTTTGGCACAGCAGTTAGAGTGTCAGCCCGCAGACCAGAGAGACCCAGATTTGGTTCCCACTAAGGGCATGTATCTTGGTTGTGGTTTGTCCTTGGCCCTGGCCCTGGTTAGGGTCGTGTGGGTGGCAACCAGTTGATGTGTCTCCCTCACAACAATGTCTCTCTCTCTCTTCCTCCCTCTCTCCCTCCAGCTCTGTCTGAAGGTGAATACAAAAATGTCCTCGAGTGAGGATAAAATAAATAAAATAAAATAAAAATATTCTTTAAAAAACAAACAGCCCTGGCCGGTTTGGCTCAGTGGTTAGAGTGTCGGCCTGCGGTCTAGAGAGACTAGGGTTCGGTTCCTGCTAAGGGCACGTACCTCGGTTGCAGTTTGTTCCCGGCCCTGGTTGGTCGTGCGGGTGGCAGCCACTCGATGTGTCCCTTTCACGTCGATGTTTCTCTCTCTCTCTCTCTCTTCCTCTCTCTCCCTCCCACTCTATCTGTACAAAAAATGGAAAAATGTCCTCGGGTGAGGATAAAACAAAACAAAACAAAACAAAACAACTCTATGCCAAACCTTGACCCAAACACACTCTGCTTTTCTTCCTTTCATGTGCATTTATGTAAATATTGTTCTTCCTCACTTCTCACTCATCCATGAAGCCTTCTCTATAAACTAATTTGAGAAAGGTTCTTCCTTCTCTCATGTTCTATAGCATTTAGCATCTGTACTGCTAGTTATTATGTAGGTCTACACCCTATCTTCCCAATTACACATCAAGTCCCATATTCATTCAAGAAATATAAAGCAGCTACTCTAGGCCAAACATCGTTCTAGACCCTGGGAACAAAGTGGTGTACCAGAAAGACAAAGTCTCTACCATCATGAAGTTTATTTTCCAGTGGGCAAAGTAAATAAATAAGTAAAACATTTCAGATCTTAATAAACTTGGTGGGGGAAGAGTGAAGAAGGAAGACATGGAATGACTGGGTGGGGTGGAGGCTACTTTAGACAGAGTGGTCAGTGAGCTCTTTGAAAAAGTGTATTGAGCTAAGACCTGAATAATAAGAGAGAACCGGCCATGAGAAGACCATGGGTAAGAGAAGTCCAGCCAATAGGAACAGCAAATGCAAAGACGCACTTTCAGGAATAGAAATCCCCAGTGTGGGTAAAGCATAGGAAAAACAGCAGTATAAGATGAAGTCAAGTGTTATGAAGGGGATTAGATTCTATATGATAACTTACTACAGGGTGATCAGTATTTTATACCTTCTAATATTTTGAGGGCAGGCACTCAATAAAGATTTTAGTATCATCACCATTTACTTGTTTGAAAATACCCACAGTTACTTTTGATCCCAGTCATCTCCTTTTACTGGTTGATTTTTCATTCCTTCAACACTTCTTCAGCACAGTTATCTGGCACAGGGACTGCTCACCCCTTTAATGAAGGTAGGTTTGTCCTTTATGCCCAAGTTCCAGAGCATGATATCTCCCCCTTTGGAACCCACAGCCAGGGTGCTGGGGTGAGTTGGGTGCCATGCCAAGGATGTGGCCCTCCTGTCAAAGGGGGCAGCCTTTTGGAATATCCGGTAAGAAGCCAGAGAGTGCAAAAAGGACTGCTGGAGAGCCTGACACAGAGAGAAAACAATTAAATTGAATTAAAACCCAAATCCTAGGTAAACTGCCAATCTGTGCCTCCTCCATAGATAAGCCCTAGGGCCAAGTCCTCCCACCAAAGGAAAACTGCCTAGCTCTGTGCTTGAAAATATTTGCAATATACATGAACTAATCTTGGAAAGCAAGAGGGAAGAGTGCATTCCAGCTGGGACTTTTACAGCATAAGACTTCTACCTGGCTGAGTGCCCAAAAGGCCAGACACCAAGGTGGAGGTGATCTGACCACTCTGAAAACCCAGTGAACCAACTCGGCATCTAATTTTGGAGCATCCAGTTGAAAAAAAGCATCATGCAAACCTTGAGCACTTCAGCCAGGAAACGCCTCACCTGCTGTAGTGATGGCCAGGCAGTTCTACCCAGCTTATGGTGATGGAGGGCCCTGACGATGCTCCTGCATCGTGGTGGGACCTGCTGGCTAGCCAACCCCTCCCAAAGGCAGTTTGAATCAAATCTTCTGCTAGAACCTGCCAAGTAGAACAGATATATTTTCCTCTCCAACCTTAATGAAGAAAGATTCTTCTGCTGAAATCCCAGAAAGAAAGCCTTGTTGTTTCATTCGGTTTAGCCAATCTCTCCCATTACCTTCTAAAGTCTTTCCATGGTCCGCTCAGTCTCACCCAGCACAAGAAATAGTGAGTAGAGATTCAGCCCCGTCCACCAAATAGTAATTCTGAAGTGAAACTAAATATGATTTTGCAGGGTTCCTGAGAGCTGAGCCAAAGAAATACACAAAGAATGTGCAGAGAATTCTTCCCAGTTTGGGTTGGAAAACTTGTGATAAGGTTGGGTGACAATTTTAAAATCATATATAGAGCACAATAAATTTTTTTTTTTCGTACAGCATAGAAATGACTATTTAGGGAAAGAAGTGTCTTTAAATCCTATATTAAAATAATGTAGAGGAGCCCAGCTGGTATGGCTCAGTGGTTGAGCATTGACCCATGCACCAAGAGGTCACCAGTTTGATTCCATTAGGGCACATGCCCAGGTTGTGGGCCCAATCCCCAGTGGGGGCATGCGGGAGGCAGCCAATAGATGTTCTCTCTCATCGATGTTTCTCTCTCTCTCTCTCTCTCTCAAATCAGTAAAGAAGAAACTTTTAAAAATAAAAGTGTTTTAAAAAAAAATGTAGAGGAAAGCAGTTGTTGGCCCCAAGTCCAATCTGTTCTGGAAAGCAGCAGGATCCAGATCGTCTGACATGGCTCTAAATTAACTAAGCTACTTTGGGACAGGTAGATCCACTCAGACCAGGAATAAAACAACTCTGGATTACCAAAATGTATTTGAGGATCTGATCTCTATGAATTCGACCTCTTGACAACCAATTATTTCTTCTTGTGGATAAAATCCCACTTCATCAACCCTCTGCTCCAGTCTTTGGAGTTCCCCCACACTCCTTATAGCCCTTGGTTCAGTCGCCAACTAACCTCTGAGAATGTGTTTTCTAAGGAAGGAAACTGAGAGCTCTCACAGCTGAATCTAAGGACCTACTGCTACACATGCCACTAAGCAAGGAGGGATTATTTTAAGCAGTCCTCAGGGTGTAAAAATCCTGGTACAAACAAGGTATTTGAAAAGTCTGTTGTGTCTGATGTAATGGGGCTCACTTGCCTCTTTTCATCACTGGAGGGAGGTTAAACTCAAGCTCTATGGTGTCAAAGGACCAGCAGACAAAACGCACAGCCTGAGGCATCTGAAACTTCGGACAGCCTCAGGAACCTAGAAGCACCCATCCCCCACTCCAGCCTCCTGAGTGAGAACCCCAATGGCGGAATTATGAAAGCAGCAGGCGTAGGCAGTACCGGGGCCCTTCACACAGAGCTTCTTGGCCTCGGGCTCCAGCTCCCCTGGGCTCCTGCTCCTCCTGCTCCTGGAGCGCAAAACCATCTCGGGGGTCTTCCGGGTTTCTGGGCGTTTCCTGGGAGCCATCGCGTCCCCTGTACAAAGGGATACTATACCGTATGCCGAGATTATGGAGGTAAGAGAGAAGCCTCTGGGGAGAAAAGGGCGGGGACTAGGGAACTGGTCCAACTTCCCGCCAAACAAGCCGACTTCCCGCCAAACAGCCTCCCGGCTTCCAAACTAGCTTCTAGTTCCGGCCCCGCCCCTCTCGGAGAGGCCCCGCCTCTCGGGGGGAAGGTGGGGGCGCGCGCGGAGAGATGGGAAATGAGTGACGGGTGAGGGGGTGCTCTTGGGCTCCCTAGAGAAATGGGACAGCGTCTACGTGTTGGCTCTGATCTGGTCCAGGCCTCCGACCTGCCAGAACTAAAGATGGCCGCCAGCGCTAGGCCACCCAACCTGAAGCCTCTTCGGACGCGACGCCGCCAGGCCTCGGCGGGTCAGCAAAGACCACATGCCAATCAAAGATTAGGCTCCGCCTTCTCTGTCTTTTAATTGGTGATCATGCCGCTCCGGCTTTGGCATTGGCTGATCCCTACAGGAGAAGAGCTCCTTTGTAGTAAACCAGCGATGTCCCTGCGGTGGAATTCGAGCTCTTTCAGCCCGCAAGTTTTGCAGTCGGTGTCGAGTACTTTCATCCCTCCAGCTCAATGGAATCAGTTTGTCTGTGGAGAATATTTGAAGTATTCACCTTTCCCCAAACCTGCTGAGTGTCCGCCTAGGGAGCAGCCTGGGGCAGTGATGCGCGGCAAGGCGTGCCGGCCAACCCCGTAGAGGGCTTGTGTCTTGACTTCAGCCAAACGCCAAGGCAGTGAGCCTCAGGTGAAGCTGCGCTGTCCCTCCTGGCCCGAGAAGAGACTGTTTGGATGCACCCCACTTTCTGCGACAAGCCAGGTTGGAGCTGGGGTTAGTCCGGGACTATTGGGCCTTTTCTTTCACCCGCTAAGCCCGGTGCCAGGCGCTTTGGTAAGGTGAGAGGAGGCATAAATGCACTAACGGTAGAGCCGGCACTCAAGGACAGGTAGGGATGAAAGACATTTCAAATATTACTCCTGGAAAGAAATGAATGCTCCAGAAGAAAAATTAGAAAGTGCTGTTTTGATGGTAAGATCAACTACCATGGGGGCCAGTTGGTGAGGTCTCCCCTGCTTGGCTAGGAGCTGTGTTCAGGGCTGTGTTACAAAAGCAACGTGGCCTCTCTAGTCAGACCAGCTATTAGGTTCACCTGAGCAGGGTGCTCATTTCTGGGGGATACTGAAATATAAGAAATGACTGGGCCCCTAAGAGGTTTACTGAGAAGAGAAGAAAAATACTTGAGAAACAAATCAAACAATTCAAGACAGAACACAGTTGAGTACTAAATTGTGGCATGCCAACCAAGGCTTTTTAGATGCAATGAGAAAATATTCACATGGAAAAATAAGTATTTAGGAAAGACTTACAGGGGGAATTTCATGGAGCTGGCTAGGGAAAGGAGAAGACATCCTAGCAGAGAAACAGCTTAATAAAAGTTAGGAATAAGTGTGGGTTACGAGAAAGAGAAAAGCAGCCCCTGGCATCTGGGAGCTGGCCTGGTACCAATAGGCAGGCCTTGGTATTGTGTTGAAATAAACAATTTCACAAAACATCAAAACCAGACAAGGTCACTCTGTGGCCATGGTAGATCAACACAAGAAATAAAATCACTCATGTCTGAATGGGCAAAAGTATGAACATTGTCCAAAACACAGAAGTGGCCAAACATCCCCTATTATTTTGGCCAATATGAATGACTGCAGCTTCTAGTGACATGCCAGGGGAGGGTCCGAACCACAGGACCAGCATATGAAAGATCAGGGAGTCTAAACTGCTTGACCAATGATACAGCTTTAGTTTAGTTTCATTCCTCCCACACCATAGATAGGATTTATTGATACCCAGTCACACAATCACCCCCCTTTCCTGACAGCCTCCAATCCAGAGCAAAGCCCCACTTCTTTGAACCTTTATTCAAATCATCCCACACAAGCGAATCCTATAAATTCTTTCCAACACCATACAGAGATGTCCCACCATTCCCTGTGGTATGCATCCTCTGTTGCAATGAGCAGTGAACCCTAAATTCAACTGTGTACAGGAGTGTCCCTGATGGTGTTTGGCTTGAGGGCATTGACATTTATGAATAGGGTAGGACACAGCCTGAAGAGGAGAAAATTGATCACATTGAGAATCTGTGCAAAGAAAGGCCAAATAAAGGGGGAGGTTTAATGGCAGGCAGAAGAATTCAAATTTCATTCATTCTGACATTTGTCAAAAACCTACTCTCTTCCTAGCACTATATCCGTCAAAGAAAATGCTGAAATGAAAAATATCCGGCCCCCGTGGAGTGTGCCTTTTATAACAGACAAGTAAATCTACATTAATGGTAATGGCACCAGATGTTAGACCTTAGTCCTTGATTTTTGTCTGAAAAAGAATTCAGAGTCAAAACTCAAATACAAGCAAAAGTTTGTTTAGAGCCCTGGCTGGTTTGGCTCAGCGGTTAGAGCGTCGGCCTGCGGTCCAGAGAGACCCGGGTTTGGTTCCCGCTAAGGGCACATACAGGTTGCAGTTTGTCCCCGGCCCCGGTTGGTTGTGCGGGTGGCAACCACTCGATGTGTCCCTTTCACTTCGGTGTCTCTCTCTCTCTCTCTCTCTCTCTGTTTCTCTCTCTCTTTCTTCCTCTCTCTCCCTCCCACTCTATCTGAACAAAAAATGAAAAAATGTCCTCGGGTGAGGATTAAAAAAAAAAATGTTTGTTTAGAAAGTCACAGAGGTAGAAGAAGTGAGCTGTGGAAGAAGTGAGCCAGCTGGGCTGTACTGGCTCAGAAAACAAGTTATATTGGCAAAAGAAGGACCCTTGGAGCTTAGGAGGGAGAAAGGCAAAGAAAATGCAACTGGGGGAAGGAGAAGGGGAAAGGGGAAGATGTGCCCAGGGTGTGCTCAAGAGAGAGTGGGAGAGCTCTGAGTCATTTGAGGATTTTTTTTTATCCTCACCCAAGGACATTTTTCCATTTTTTGTTCAGATAGAGTGGGAGGGGGAGAGAGAGAGAGAGAGAAACATCAACATGAAAGGGACACATCGAGTGGTTGTCACCCGCACAACCCAACCAGGGCCAGGGACAAACTGCAACCTAGATACCTGCTTAGCGGGAACCGAACCTGGGTCTCTGTGGACCGCAGGCCGACACTCTAACCGCTGAGCCAAACCGGCCAGGGCCATTTGAGGATTTTTATCTGCTTCCCAAAGGCAGGGATTTTAGGGGAGGTCTCAGAGGAGGATCTCAATCAAATATTCATTAGCTTTTCGGGTGTGTTCCCTCAGGGTCATGGTCTCCACTGATAGCCATTAAAGCTGTCCCTGCCTGGCCTTGCTGCTTTTCTGGGCCTGGAGCTGAAACACAACTGAGGCCTAGATGTCATCTCTAGTTTGACCAAAACTGTCTCTGTGGTCAACAGACTCAAGGCTTTGTTCTTAAGATTATTTGATGCAGGTCAGAACCTCTTTGTACTGAGGGCTTAATGCTTAAGGAGTGGTCATGCAAGGGCTTCTATGGGAGTCCTGTGAGGCTATTTTCTGACCCCCAAGTTCCTCTAAGGGGGTCTACCACATGAGTAGTGACATGCCAGGGGAGGGTCCGAATCACAGGACCAGCATATGAAAGATCAGGGAGTCTAAACTGCTTGACCAATGATATCCTAGGGGAGAAAAGGTCACCCTGTGGGTGAGGTCCCACCCTACAATTGTCTGTTGCTAGGCACCCCAGGGCTTTCAGCCCTCTTGACCTGTACTTGGCCTAAGGCTCCTACCCTGCTCAAGCCTGTCTAACTACCTACCCTGTCATAACTACCATAGAGTGGGATAAGCTCAGAGAGAGCAGGCGCTTTGTTTCTGGTGCAGTGGGGGTGTGCAGAGAGAAAGGACACTTGAACTCAACTTGGAGTGGGGTAAAGAAGGGACTGTCAAGGAAGTCTTCCCAGAGAAGGTGACACTTAAACTGAACCTCCAGAGATTGAGGGAGGGGAAAAGGGAGGAAGAAATGGAAAGACAGGGAGGCAGTAGTTAGCCATGATGGATTTGTGAACAAAGGAAATGCCCTGCTTAAATGCCCGGTTTCCCCAGAATCTGTTTTTCATCTTTAGCACTGGGGAGTTTTCCCTGGTGGATGAAACAAACTACGCATGGCCAGTGGAAGCCTGCCTCACCTGCCAGTAAAGCGCTTTATTTCAAGCTGTGATTTGGAGCATTCTTCCCCTGGGCTTTGCTTTGTTTCCCTGCAAAATAATGGCCTAGGGACTTGAGGTCATTCATTCCCATCTGATGAACCATTAGGGGAAGGGTGGGCAAAAGCATTTAATACATTTTTTTAAATGCTGCTAATCTAAGAATGAGGTGAATGGTACAGCACTGCTCCGGTTTCATGCCATTGAGAGGTTGTGCCATGCAACCCGTTATAGGTGTTTTGGTTTTGTCTGTGAATACCTTTGAAATAAGGCATCATCACAAGACAACTCATTCAAAAGTCGCTGGTGATAGCAAATAAATGTGTCATGCTTGTACTGGAAGCGGGACAGGCCATGAGCATGACCTCAAATAATGCCAGTTTCTTTGATCTGCACAACAATATGTGGCTTAGGTGTTTTCTGGAACAAATAATATAACACAGTGGTAAGAGCATTGTTCTTAGACTCTGATTTTGGGTTCATCATTTCACTTTTCTATGCCTGAGTTTCCTCATCATAAAATCAAGAGGAGGGACGAGGTAGTCTCGGATCTCTTTCAGCTTTAAAATCTGTGATCCTGGGACTTGCTGTTAAAGCGACAGAAACCAGTAACTGCTTTGAACTCTGGCTTCTCTGTGGGAAATTTCCATCTAGTAGGAACTGTGTTCCTGGTGCAGGCTGATACATGACTCTGATTCTGATCAAGCCGTCTATGGATCCAAAGGCTCTGCTGAGTCTGCAAAACCATCTATAATCCACGTGGACGGTGTGAGCAGGCTTCCCACACAGTGTTACTGCATCCAGTGGTTTGCAAATGACAGCCTCAAGGATTCTGCAGAGCTTGCAGGGAAGTGAAGTTGAAATTCCTCCTCAAGGATTGGAACAGACTGAATACAGCATTCAGAGTCCTTGCTGCTTGGCATCT